AAAAAATTTTTTAATGTTTTTGAGACAAGGAGAGACAGAGCATGAGCAGGGGAGGGGCAGAGAGAGAGAGGGAGACACAGAATCCGAAGCAGGCTCCAGGCTCCGAGCTGTCAGCACAGAGCCCGACACAGGGCTCGAACCCACGAACCGTGAGATCATGACCTGAGCCGAAGTCGGACACTCAAGCAACTGAGCCACCCAGGCCCTGGAGAAGTATATTTTCAAAAGATCTGTAGCTGGAGGAGAACAAGTTGTAGCCGGAGGTGGTGATGGTGGCATTGGATATGGAGAGACAGGAATGGAAGCCAGGAGGGCATTTAGGGGCTCTAATGGTTGTCACAGAAGATGATGATGATGATGTTGACTTTGGCCTGGAAGGTGGACTGGAGCGGTGGTCAGGTTCAAGGTAATTTCACACGGAGATGCTAGAGGACCCACTGATGGACTGGAGGGGAGACACGAGGGGATGAGAGAAATCAGTAACGACTCCTGGAGATGGGGTCAATGGTGATGTCATGTATAGATTTGGGGAAGAACTGGCGAAGACTGGGGTTTTCTGGACGGAGAAGGTGGAGGAGGAGTAAGTCTTAAATGTATTGTGTGTAAGATGCCTCACAGACACTGGACACCTAGGGGGGATATCTGTGGGTCAGTTGCCTGGAAGTCTTGAGTTCCGGAGAGCTGAGGCTGAAAATATAAATTGGGTAGTTATCGGCACACAGGTGCATTTACAGGGACGAGTTAGGTATCATCTGGAATAAGAATGTAGATAGAGTTCAGGATTGAGATTTCAGAAATGCATCTTGATGCCTAGAAGAGGAGATGAGCCCAGCCAGAGACCAAGAGGGCGCGGCCAGTGAGACCGAAGAAAAATAATAAAAGTGAGGTATCCCGAAAGCCACACGAAGAAGCTCTTTGGGAAAGACAGAATAATCAGCTATGCCAAACGCTGCTGATGGGTACGAGTAAGATGAAGGTGGTCATGGCCACAGGATTAGGCCATATGGCCATCACTGGTGATCTTGACAAGGGTGGTTTCGGTGGAGTGGTCCAGGAAAGCCCTGACTGCCGAGTGACCGGGAGAGGAAGTTGGAGACAACTGTACAATGCATGCGATAATATGGATAAATAACCCCTCCGCCCAAACCATGAAAATGCATCGCTAAAGTGGCAAGAAATCAAGGAATCTCTGGAGGCTGAAGGTGTAGTGAAAGCAAGCAGTGAGTAAGGCTCCCAGCGGTCTTTCCTGTGACGGTTTCTACTCAACACTGGAGACCTTGGGCTGCTATTCTGATTGCTCTGTGGGATGTGGGAACCTGGTGATTCAGCCTGGGGCCCCCACGAGCTGAGGAGGCTGGTAGGAAGCTGCATGTGAAATCTCGACACCGTGAGGGCGTATGAGAAACAAAACACAGAAAGGGCAAGGATGGAAGTTTCCTGCTTTCTCCTGGGCACTAAGTACACCCCTGCAAGTTGAAGTATAAGTGGTCTGGGGTTGGAAGAGCCCCTCGAAGACTGGCAGAAACAGATACAGACCTTTCCTGGAGGAATGCAACCAGATTCCAATCCTCAAAGGATTCCCGCAAATAAAATCCCAAGGAACGTGACGCTGACAATCAAAAGTCATAAAATACACAAGGAAAAAAGTCACCAAGAGTTGGAGCCAGCAGAAGCAGTGGGATTCAACCTGCAAAGACTTCAAATATTGGAAGTCCAACTATAAAATCGCAATCTTTAACATATTTAAAAAAAAACAAGAAGTTCCTGTTGAAGTGTCTTGTTTAATTGTCTCTGACCCATGTAGCAGGAAAAAGTGCCTTCCTCGTAGTTTCTCAGACACCAATTCAAGACTAAGAAAAAATACCTTCATCCTTCTGAGCACAATGTATCAGTTAAGACAGAAATGCTCTCGAGGTGCCTACGTGGCTTGGTCGGAAGAGCGTGTGACTCTTGATCTCAGGGTTGGGAGTTCGAGCCCCATGTTGGGTGAAGAGATCACTTAAATAAACAAAACTTAAAAAAAGAGGCAGAAATGTTCGCTGTTAGGAATCACCCTTCAGAAGCCTAAACAAGCACCTAGTCTCCATAGGTCACAGTTCCTGCCCCTGACCTCGTATTTTAAGTTCTAATATAAATTCAGCATTGCCTGAACTGGCAGGAAGAGAGGCGATTTCAGAGGCTCTCCAAATATATCCAGACTCTGTGATCGTGCATGGACCTTTGCCTTCTGAGAAGTGACAAAACTTACTGAAAATTATAGGCTGTAATGGCATTACTTTGTGAAGAGAAGCAGACAAAGCCTTTAATATGTGTTTTAGCAATTCAAAAATGATCATACTGTGCTATGCCGACAGCCAATTCGAGGAGAAAGAAGCTAATAATTGTTGGTAGGTCTTTATGTTACCCTTAATCTATGGCACAGAGAAACAAAACAGTTTTAAACTGTCAAAGCAGAAGTTGTCTTAAGATCATCTTCTAATGAATGTACTCTAAAACTGAAAAAAATTGAGGGGCACCTGGGTGGCTCAGTCAGTTCAGCATCTGACTTCAGCTCAGGTCATGATCTCGCAGTTCGTGGGTTCCAGCCCTGCATCGGGCTCTGGGCTGACGGCTTGGAGCCTGAAGCCTGCTGCAGGCCTGATTCTGTCTCCCTTTCTCTCTGCTTCTCTCCCACCGACAATCTGTCTCTCTCTCAAAAATAAGCATTTTTAAAAAAATTTTTTAAAAAACTGAAAAAATTGAATGAAAGAGAACCCTTGATATTTGAGCAAAGAACAAGAAAATACAAAAATGAGTAAGCAAAATTTTATAAAAATGAAACAGAAGGTCTAAAACTGGAACGTATAATTAAAATTTAAAGCTCAATGAATGGATTCAACGGGAGATTTAAACAAAGCTGAGAGAATGAGACCACTGGGTGATAAAAGCGGAGACGTTATCCAAACTGCAGTGGAGACAGAAAGCTGTAAATTATGAAATTCATTAAAATACATGGACGATGGTGACAACAAAAAAAACCCTCACATAAGTTTAGTAAGAGCTCAGAAGAAAGCAAGAGAGAGAGAATGAGCAAGAAGCAACCTCTGAGATCTTGGCTGAGAATTTTCTTGAATTGCTGAAAGACAATGTAAGTTCGAGAAAACCCACCAAATTCCAGGTGGCATATCAAGAAACCCTCAAGGTCCTTCCTACTGATACCTTTACCAAAAAGGAAATGCAGATCTTAAA